TTTAGATGCATTTAAATTCAAATTTTGTAGGTAAGTGGCAAAAATTTCCAAGGACTATGAGACATCATAGTTACTAAATGCAAACATTTAACTACATGAAAAAATGTATAAAGATACCAGATATTCGAAATTGACTTTTTCTTCAGATTAAGAGATAGATTTATTTAGACAGCTGAAACAGGGTCCTGTAAGAAATGTTTAGTCTCTTTGACTATTCCCCAAAGATTATCAGAAAGGCATAACCTAACTAATTGGATGTTTTGACAGGGCCTGCATTGATTATGAGAGTGATTTTTGTACATGACACTCTTAAATAAAAAGTGGCATAATTTATATGACTGCAACAATATTATTTCATTTTAACATTATCCAAAGAACTGTTCAATAATATAAAAATAGAGTATGATGGCTGGTATAGGGGTACTTAAAATTTCTCTTCTATCATGTGAATGCTGAAATAGCCTTGATTATACAAATTAAATGGTAACAAGGACATCTATGGTAAAAGACATTAATAATATAGAATTTAAATATCTTGTGTAAAATACTCCACTCTTGTGTAAAATGCTTCAGTCTAATGATTGATTTAAAATGTCTAACTTATAAAGATTCTCTAATGTAGTACAAATGAAGTATTAAGGAAGTGGATTATCTACAAGACCAAATAAGTGTTTTGACTTAAAAGGTTCTTTTAATTTGCTTTAGTTCACTTTTTTCCTTGCTGTCAAAATCCTAACCTCTTTTGATTAATAAGATGTTAATCCTGTTGGACTTTTATGGTTCAATAATCTTTAATGTTACATGTCCTCTGAGTCCCACAAAAGTATTGAGCAACCGGGCGCGGTGGCTCATGCCTGTAATCCCAGCACTTAGTGAGGCAGAGGCAGGAGGATTGCTTGAGCCTACGAGTTCAAGACCAGCCTGGGTAACATAGAGAAACCTTGTCTCTACAAAAAAATATTAAAAAATTAGGGCGAGTGCAGTGGCTCACACCTGTAATCCTAGCACTTTTAGAGCCCAAGGTGGGAGGATCATTTGAGCTCAGGAGTTCAAGACCAACCTTGGCAACATAGAAACCTCATCTCTGAAAAAAGCTTAGAGAAAATAAAAAATGTTAGCCAGGCATGGTGACATGCATTTTTGTCCCAGCTACTTGGGAAGATGAGGCCCAGAGGGTTAGGATGAAGTGAACCGTGATCATGCTATTGCACTCCAGCCTGGGCAACAGAGTGAGACCCTGGTTTAAAAAAAAAAAATTAAAAAAAAAAAAAATATATATATATAAAGCAGCTGTCACTGACTTCATTCTCTTCTGCATACTCTCCCTCTCCTTTTTTTTTATAGCTATCAAGATTTCCTATTCTGTCTCCTGAGGTACCTTGTAATGCAATATTCAGACCTCAATTTTACTTTAAGTTACAAAACAGTGCCCGAGGCCTAACTTAGTTGCTATTTTCACTCATCTATTTCTATCAAAAGGAACTCCTCTGAAATAATTTTCATCAAAAATTTTCATCCCATGCTTTTTTTGTTTTTTTTTGTTTTTTTTTGTTTTTGCCTGAAATTCATCAATTTTACTTTTGGATATATACCCAACAGAAATATACGTATATGTTCAATCATACACACGTATAAGAATGTGCACAGTGGCAATATTGATAAGAGTTGAAAACTAGAAATTACCCATCAATAATAGAAATCAGACATATGAGTATACATATTTTATATTTCCATTTATATAAAATACTAAAACAATCAACATGTATGCAATGATATCGTCATCCCATGTTTTAACATCTGAGTTTGAATGCTGACTTTCTTGAACTATTAAGGAAGATGTTGGGCTTTCCCCCCCTCATTTCTAGCAAGGACTATTACAATTTCAGGAAATAGAAATGAATTTATAAAAATACCTCAAAAAATTTGTGATATACTCAAAATGAGGACATTAATGTTTCACCTAGGAATGTAATCGAATTTTATGGGAAAGCTAAAAAGGACAGAGTTTAAAAAAATGACTATCAAAAAAAAAAAAAAAAAAAAAAAGGCTATCATGAAAAGTGGAAACCCCTTACCTAGAATCTATGAGAGTTTCACTGTGTCACACCTTCTTGAAGGAACTTGGAAATGCAGGATAGGGCCAAGGAGAATCAGGACAATCCTCATATGTGACACACTTTCTTCAGTGTCTGTGATAAAATATGTGTGATGAAGAACATGTCGTTTATGTCCAGAGTGATGAAAATGCAAAGGTAGGGCATTGAGAATACTTTTTTCCATTTGTGTGACCAAGTTTTCCATCAGGAATGCATTACAAATCAGTGTTTCCTCCTGCCTTTATTATCGATTGCTGCATAACAAAGTACACCCCAAACTTGACTTAAAACAACACGGACTGTCTCACAAATTCTGTGAGTCAGAACCCAACTGAGAGTGGCTCAGCTGGGTCCTCTGCTTCAAGGTCTAACTTATGGCTCTAGTGGCAGGGGCTGCTCCTCTCAAGGTTCCAGCAGGGAGAATTCACTATGGTATTGGCAGGACACAGTTCTTGTGGGCTGCTGGCTAGAAACCTCCCTCAATCCTTATTATTTGGACTTTTCCATGGGGCAGTTGCCACCATGGCAGCAGGCCTCCATCAGAGAGTGACGGATCCAGAGACAAGCCATCATTTTACAACCTGATAACTGAAGTGACATCCTATCACTTGTGCTGTTTTCTATTCATTAGAAGGTAGTCACTAGGTCGCACCTGTACTCAAAGGGTGGAGTCTCAGGAGGTAGGATGGTTGGGAGCCATCTTAGAGGATGCCTACCACATGCGACATACATGCCCCCTCCCCAACTCCGCAAAAGTTTCACTGCATGACAACATCAGCTCAAAATCAAGAATCCCAACATCGAATGAAGTCAGGGTAGCTGAGGCTCTTGAGGGGTAGTTTTTCAAGTACAGCTCCCAGAAGCACAGTTGTTTTCATTTGTAGACACATGAAGCTAAAGAGACAAGTTACGTGTCCTCTACTCCCAGCATAAAATGATGGCTAAGGCATAACCATAACCAAAATCATAATATTCCTGTTCACAAAGCCAGGAAATGGGAGTCCTGCCCACATTCAAGGGAGGGGCAGAATTATGCAAGGGTCTGAAAACTAGGAGGCAGGGATCACTGGAGACCATCTCAGAGGCTGCCTAACACACTGCCCTCCTAGTTAACTCTAATAATTAAAGGAGTAAAACTTTAGAGGAAAAAAAACTATTTTTTTTTGAGTTGGGGGTTTCATTGTGTTGCCCAGGTTGGAGTACAGTGGCATGATCATGGTTTACCGCAGCCTTGAACTCCTGGGCTTAGCCAGTTCTCCTGCCTCAGTCTCCCAATTAGCTGGGACTTCAGGCACATGCCACCACACTTGATTAACTTTTTGATTTTTTTGTAGAGATGAGGTCTTGCTATATTGCCCAGGCTGGTCTCAAATTCCTAGGCTCACATAATCCTCCCAAAGTGCTGGGATTACAGATGTGAGCCACCATGCCTGGCAAAGAAATATTTTATGAAGTTTGAGGTGATTTTTCAATATATACATTTATATATATTATATACATCATTACATACTATATTATATATACATTTATATTTATATATATGATATAAATATATATTTATATATATGATATAAATATATATTTATATATATATAGCATTGGTGTGTTTGCATTGTAATTTTTTTCTTTGGATCAGAGTAAAAGTTCTTTTGGATTACAAGAATATTGGAGGAAATTGCTTAAACATTGTATTTCCTTTTGTTATGGCTATAGCTCTGATCACTGACTTTTAGTTTGCTTCATTTTCCAAAAATTTCCAAAATGTTTTCCTAAAGTTTAATATAACACCTGTTACAGCTCCATACTTATTCCTCTATTTGCATTTTGTATTTCTTCTTCTATTTATGACTATACCTTATATTTACATAAAATTTAAATTATGTTTCTTGATGAACCATCAGTGTCTCTGCTTTGAATATGGGAGCTGTCCTAGTTTCTTTTTTGCATTATTGACTGATGTACAGATATAACTTCCACTTCCTTTCTCTATGCTGCTTTCTGAAGTCCTGGTCAAACACTCCTTGTTTTCCTTCCTTTTCTATCAGTTTAAAACAGAGGTTCTCAACCAAGGACAATTTTACTCTTCAGGGCACATTTGGCAATGTCTGGAAATATTTTTAGTTGTCACAAGCTGGGGTGTGCCACTGGCACTTAGTGGTCAGAAGCCAGCGATGTGCCAAACAACCCATACTGCCCAGGGCAGCCCCTGCACAGCAAAGAATCATCTAGTCCAGAGTGTCAATAGTTCCAAGGTTGAGAAACCTTGGTCTAAAACAAATCAGTTCTTCCTCCTGCTTTAAATGTGAAGACATTACAAAGTTGTTTCAGCATCAGTTACCATACAAATCTACTTTTTTTCCTATTCACACATTTCCTCAAAATAACAAAAATGTGCAACTGTGAACACAAACTAGCAATTGCAGGCAAACCAGATCCTACATTAATTACCGAACCACTGACTAATACAGTCTGAGATGAAAGGCACTGAGCAAAGTACAATCCAGCAGTGTGACTATGTCTTCTGATTGAGGAATATATACTGAATGCTTTGTGATATTTGGGAATCTAATTTTATATTTTAAATATGTGTAATTACTACTAACTAGAAAATGTCTATAATAAGTACAAACAAACTAGCATATAGATTAGAAATTTATTTTATTTCCATTTGTTATTAGAATGATAAAAGAATAAAAACAAAAGTTTAGAATGTACAGTAGTCACTGTGGAATCCCTAAGATAACAGTAATGCCTTTAGTAACAATGCTTCACATTTTTGCTCTTTTATGGCTTTTCTATTCATGCATCACAACTTTTACCTTCAGTAAGTATATTTATGATTTTATGAGTCATCTGTCCAGATATGTGGAGCAACCCTTTGAAAGAGAAGAAATATACTCACTATTTTTCTTAATTGACAGTGGACTAGTTTGTTTTGTACATGCCATTCTCTTATGTTAGTTTTTATCTTCAATGACGTACGAAAGATCCAAAATCAAACTGGCTGTCTCTACAGCCGCCTGTAGGCCACTAAGCTTAGCAGTTAAACAGTCCACGGTCAGGTTGCTGGCTGAGCCCACGGCTTCATGTGGAAGGCAGGTCTGTGGCACGAAAGGATGATGCGTGCTTCTTAGGAAAGACCAGCTGAACTCTTCCTGGCTGTTGTAGAGTCCACAGCCACACTGTGAAAACAAATCTGGCCAGTTAACAACAGAAGGAGCATCTGCCTGAACTGACCAAAAGTGTCCATACTTCATGTCAGTGAGAATTTCACCTCCATCATGTTCTAAAGAGCCAGCCACAGATTCTAGAGCACGGCAAAATGCTTCAGCAATTAGGAGAAGTTCTGTTTGAGTATATTCACCATCTTTGAGAATGCTTTCTGGCTCGTTGTGAGTCTAAAGGGTAATAAAACATGAAAAACACATACAGAGCAATTAATAAAAAATATTTCAGAAGCAGAGGATGCTTGGTCAAAGCTTTATTCAAAAAGTTACTACTTATATTCATTTAATTCAGAGTTTGGCAAAAGGCTAATGGGTTTGTATGGGTCTGCTGGCCAGGCTGCAGTTCCTTAACCTGGTTGGCTATAATGAATGCTACCAGTCATGTCATCAGAATGAGTGAATCAGAATAACCCCACTATCAGCTTCTTATGAATAAGGCCTAGTAGTGCCTCCTTAATATATGAAAGATACGGCATAATGCATACATTACAGGTTTTTATGCACAAAGAGGGAGGTTTCTGAAGATTAGTGTCCCTAATGAAGTATTTATTTATCTTGGCAGAACATGTGAGTTTTGTTTAAAAGAGAATGCATATATTCTTATTAAGATGGCATTTAGGGATGTATACAATTTTCACATCAATATTTTAAAAATGAATATTCTTCTCTTTAAATTAATAAAAAGACAATAAGACTTTAAACTGTTTTTTGGTTCATCATTTAAAAAAGTTTATACTAGAAATTCCATAATAGAAAGAAAATTAGGCAGGGTGCAGTGGCTCATGCCTGTAATCCCAGCACTTTGGGAGGCTGAGATAAGAGGATTATTTGAGCCCAGAAGCTTGAGGCCAGCCTGGGCAACATAGTGAAACCTCATCTCTACAAGACATAAAAAAATTAGCCAGGCGTAGTGGTATATTCCTGTCGTCCTAGCTACTTGGGATGCTGAGGTGGAAGGATCACCTGAACCTGGGAGGTAATCTGTGGTGAACTGTAATCGGGCCACTGCACTCCAACCTGCTAACCTGCGTGACGGAGTGAGATCTTGATTCAAAAAAAAAGAGAAAGAAAGAAAAAAAGAAAAACGAATATACAGCCATGCACCACAAATCAAAGTTTTAGTCAACAACAAACCACATATATGATAGTGGTCCCATAAGCTTATAATACCCCTATTTTACTGAACTTTTCTGTTTAAATACATACCACTGTGTTGCTACACCTGCCTACAGTATTCAGTACAGTAACATGCTGTACAGGTGTGAAGCCTAGGAGCAACAGACTACACCGAATAGCTTGAGTGTGTAGTAGGCTGCACCATTTAGGTCTGTATAAGTAACACTCATTCTATGATGTTTGCATGACACCAAAATTGTCTAACATTGCGTTTCTCAGAATATATCCCTGTTGTTAAGCAACGCATGATTTATAAGCAAATAACTGAATGGTTACCTTAAAAATCTTAACTACTTAAAAATAGTGATAACTTTTTTTTATTTTTATTTTTTGAGTTAGAGTCTCACTCTATCGCCCAGACTGGAGTGCAGTGGCCACTCCCGGCCACCGCAGCCTCAACCTGCTGGGCTCCGGCGATCCTTCCGCCTCAGCCTTCCAAGTAGCCGGAATTACAGGCATGCGCTACCACGCCTGGCTGATTTTGTGATTTTATTGTAGAGATGAGGTCTCGCTGCCCAGGTGGGTCTCGAACCCGCAGGCTCAGGCAATCCACTCACCTCAGCCTCCCAAAGGCACGGGATTACAGGCTGAGCCACCAAGCCCGGCTTGATCACTTTTTTTTAAATCAGGAGGTCAAAGAATCGGATGTGATATTTTTACCCACATCCCCGATGCTGTGTTGTTTCTTTAAAATCCAACTCTTGACACCTCCTTCCTCTGAAAAACTTCTCTAGTTTACTCAATTACATTTAAAGATTACATGACTGTCCACTTGCCATCAATTGATTGGTACAAATTTTGTTTTTCCTAATGTATATTCTAACAACTTTTCATGAAAGGAATTTATTTTCAGATAGACTTTAAATTATTTGGGGAAGCAGGGCCGGGCATGTCTACCCAATTAATCAATTGCTAGTATTTAGAAAGCACTTATACCTTTTGTATCAATTTTCAAATAAAGTAGGCCAGTACTTATGAAATAATTACTCAGAACTATAGTGCACTCAACTTTTCTGACTAATGTCAGGAAATGACATTTCCTAGATTAATACAAAATTCTATTTAGTAGAGTTAATAAATATCATACATAAATAACAATTTAAAAATTGTAATAGAATCCGACATATGGAATGCTTTAATAAATAAAATTAAGACTTTTCTTGATGCTCCAGAAGGTATTGAAGTATTTTGTAGAACCTTGGGCCCTTTTGTTGTAAATATCAATTATAACTCAGCAGCAGTTGAGATCTCTTTTTTAGTTTTTTTTTTTGAGATATGGTCTCATTCTGTTGTCCAGGCTAGAGTACAGTGGCGTGATCCCAGCTCACTGCATCCTCGGCCTTCTGAGCTCATGCTATTCTTACACCTCAGCCTCCTGCCTCAGCTTCCTGAATAGCTGCGACTACTTGGCTAATTTTTGTAGAAACAAGGTCCTGTCATGTTGCCCAGGCTGGTCTTGAATTCCTGAGCTCAAGCGATTCTCCTGCCTCAGCCTCCCATGGTGCTGGGATTACAGGCGTGAGCCACCAAGCCCAACTGAGATCTCTAATATGAGAATTCTCAATAACATAATGCTAGTTTCAAGATGCAGTACATAGAGCTAATACTCAGAGAATATGGTCATTTGATGAAAAATTAAATTTATAATAATCATTATAATAAAGACATTACCTTACATTTATCTTATTTTCTTTAAGTGTTTTTCAATATAGACTATTGAAAAATTAAGTGTAAAAGGCTCCAGGATATTACAATTTGGCTTATCATCTCATAAAACAAAAGTTGCTGATAATTCAGATCATCTGAAGAGGACTATCATTCTTACCTTGTGTCTGATATATGCAGCCAAATGAGTTTCAGTACAGCCACCTCCCAACAAAACCCACGGTTCCTTGATTGTTAACTGCAGGACATGCAGTGCTGTCTGACATGTGAGCTAAGAAACAAACACATCAGAATCAGACATTCACATCATATATGTAAAGAAATATAACCATGCTCTCAAAGTAAAATAGATAGTGGATTCAAAGAGCCTGATAATTAATTGGAAAAGGACAAAATCTATGTTGTCAAGGTTGTAATGTGATTAATACATTTTGTGATAATAAAGATTAGAGATTAAAGAAAGGTACATTAGCCAGAATTTTGTTTTCATGGAGCCAGATTAATATTTCCTTTCAAATATACTTAGCTCTTCAAATTGAGACTCACAAATCTACAGCTTCAAAAATATCTGGGTCAGCAAGGTTTGATGGTACTTCTACTAAAATTATTTCAGACCAAATAAACTAGATGTATAAGTGCTACAAATACAGCTATAACCCAGCAGTAATAAATAGAAAAACATACAGATCTTTTGACATTCACCAAAGATATATCCTTGAGCATACGTGAATTTTCAAAGCTTGTGGCCAATCCCACAAATTATCACTCCCCTTATATGAGAGTTGTATGTGTTATTGCTGGCAGAGGATGATAAACTCTACTAGGAGTTGGATGGTGGGTGCTGACTGAATAAATCATTTTCTACGTGAATTATTCATATATATTAGCATCAAAGACTACACAATTCAAATTAGTTTCTTAAGAAAATTTCACACATCAAGGACATTTTAGGTTTCTAGTAAATAGTAGAAATAAATGGCAACATATGCCAAGTCTTCTATAATGTCACAGGCATTTAAATTAACTACTTGTGACTTTGATTCTCTCATTTTTGTTTTTGCTTTCCCTGCCCCCACACCCTCAGAACTTGTGGTGTTTTTGCTTTCTACACCAAGGAGAGTTATGAAAAAAATGTGAAAACAACCCCAAAAAACTGTTGAGTGACAATTTAATTCCTGCCTCAGTCCCTGAATACAGAATTCAAATTTCATTACATACCTTCAGCTCATCCCAGATAGTGTCATTTCTGTTGCAGAGGAGCAAGCTACAGATTGTCGCTTCATTTGGAATAAGATGAAAAAAATGTTTGGAGCCAAATTTTGCAGTGCACAAATCTTTCACATTTCCATAACTACTAGGAGATATTGAGCCTAGGGAGCCAATAGGCTGTGCTCCTGTTTTTTAAAGTTTAGAAAACACAAAATGTATAAGCAAAAGTGAAGCAAACAACCACTGAAAATTACATTTATCTCTAGCCAAAATAAAAGTCCCACAAGCATATCATTTAAAATAGGAAACATAGGATAAAGAAATAAACTGCTAAAATGAGTAGTATTCCGCTATTAAAATGATATACAAATAAAGCAGAGGTTATTTTGGTTTACAGAATTTTATAAACATCTGTTAGAAGCCATTTTGTACTAGGCGTAGTGGCCCGTGCCTGTAATCCTAGGTTAGGCTGAGGTCGGAGGATGGCTTAAGTCTAGGAGTTCGAGGTGCCAGTGAGATTCAGTTTGAGGCAAGATGGGGGGTGAATGGGGAGGGTGGGGCACAGGGTCATGTCATTTTTGGTCAAAAGCTGCTGAACACTCAGCTTGGTAGGGGCAGGTTGTTCATGTAAAGCACTCATTGTGTAATAGGCAACCATGTTGAAAAACATCTTCAAAGAAAATTCACTGAAGCCGAAGGCAGCCTCTCACAACGCTAGTCGGTACACTGATGCCTAGAACACTTCACTAGCAGGGGGAGCCTGTAGTCAAGGGGCTGTCCCTCCAAAAGATAATTCTTATTTTTTGGGGGTCCTCCTCATATGATCGCACCACTGCACACCAACCTGGTAGAAAAAATGGGACCCTATCTCAAAAAAAGAAAAAAAAGAAAAAGAATAGAAAAGGCCTGTACTCCCTCCCTAGAAAAAGGTGCATACAGTTTTGCATACACACCCTGGAAACCCATTTATAGATCAGGGTCCTCAAATTAAGAAACTTACTATATGGAATAAGGGGGCAGGGTAATATGACATGAGGGGACAGGGTATTTTTTAAAAGGCATTACTATTTCCAATTTGAAACAAATGAAGTTATCCAAATAGTTGTCTAGTTGAATTCCTTTGGGGCTCTACTTAGTAAACATATAATAAGTATTATTATTTTTTTGTCTAGCAACTGTTTGTATGTTAATAGCTACCTAAATTATGCCCAAAAAGTATGTAGTACACTTACTTTGTTATTCTTTGATATACTAAGTACTTTTTGACCTCTCACCTGCACAGGTAAAATAGTAACGTTTGATAAATCATAAATTAACAAAAACACGAATAAAGGAGACACCAGGATGACTTCAATTTTCAAAATCTCTAAATGTAGTGCAAGTTATATAAGATAACTACACTAAACTTCTGCAAGAAATAACAATAATATAGAAACTAAATATTAAAACTGTAACTCTGAGTCATTCAACCCATTGGCCTGGCCAGCTTTCCTTTTATTTCTTATACTTTAAAAAACTTTAATTATTTCTAGTTTTTCATATATATGTGTATATACATAATTTTTTTAGAGGCAAGGTCTCACTGTCATTCAGGTTGGAGTGCAGTGTACGCAATCATAGCTCACTGCAGCCTCAAACTCCCACCTCAACCTCCCAAGTAGCTGGGATTACAGGTGCATGCCATCATGTCTAGCTATTTTTTTTTTTTTAATTTTAAAGTTGCGGGGTATAATTCAGGGTTAGATATACAAATGGTCTTGCAGGTAAAGTTGGGCCTCACTTTGGTCCCCACTTCATCTCTAATTTAAAAAAAATTTTTTTTTGTAGGGATAGTGTCTCACTATGTTGCCCAGGCTGGTCTACAATTTCTGGCCTCCCACAGTCCTGCCCAGCCTTTCAAAGTGCTGGGATTACAAGTGTGAGCCACCATACCCACTTTGGTTTCCTTTTCTTTTAAACTAATGTTGAAAATATGTTTTCTTTCAAACTAATGGTGTTAAAATATAAAAAGATACTTCCAGCTCAAAAAATTTATAGAAAATAATCACTAAACAAGTTGCTTAAATATTTTTAAGTATTTAAAAATATTCTGGAGCTTGTAAGAATAAGGAATACTTTTAAAGTTATCTAAAATTTAACAAGTTGAAAAAATAAAGGCTAAATCTTATAGTATAATTTCACGTGGTGAAAACACCAGATTCTGGAGTGAGGAGCCTCAGCTTTACTGCTCATCAGTCACTGAAGGTTAAGGAGGTCACTGCTGGCACTGAACTTTTCTGGCTCTCTCACACTGAGAGTAAAATGGGGATAATAAGGTCTACTTCACAAATAAATTAAACCAAATATGTTGAAAATGTTCTGTACGCCACCTACACACAGTAACACTTTCTACTCAATCCAGATTATTAAGAAACAGGAAAACATACTTTATCTATTTTAAAAGTTCACCTGAGTTACGCATCTGTTCAGGTTTTTTCCCATGTTCTCTTTGGTCTCAAAAGATTCCTGCTCTCAAGATCTAAGACTAAAGCTATGGCTACTAATGTCATGTTTTAGGGCTATATAGTGGCTAGTATGGAAACCCAGTCTCTACTTACAATATTGTTGCTAAGGAAAAACATCCCCCCCAACCTTTTTTTTTTGAGATGGGTTTTTGCTATGTTGTCCAGGCTGGACTTGAACTCCTGAGCTCATGTAATCCTCTTGCCTCAACCTCCCAAATAGCTGGGACTACAAGCTTGCACCACTACACACAGCTAAAACGTTACTATTTTTAAAAACTAAATAATCTAGAATTTCCAATATTCACAGGCCAGATTAATGAAAAGCTAGTAGATATCTAAGAACATGAGTCTGACTTATTGTATCAACAATGAGTTCCATAGAATTATTTCCATTATTTCTTAATAAATTCTGCTTTGAAGGTCATTTGTCTTACAAAGATAGGGCAATAACCAAGAGATATTATGTATTCAATACTTGGCACACGTACTGCTCTTTTATTTATAAGACTATAAATAGTGAACTTTAACAATGGTTTAAGTGTAATAACTTAAAAATTGAAAACAATGCAGAATTGAATCATCTTTCTGATTGTCAAAGCAGTTAAATGGGTGCTGAAAACAGCTCAAATCAGCTACTCTTTAGCTTGTATTTTGGCTCTGGCAGGTGAGTATCAACCTCTTACTTAAAATTTCATGCTTTTGATCTGCTGAGTTTATGAGATAGTGAATTTTCTGCCCATTATAATTCTGCTTGTTACTAAATGTTATAGTAAGTTCAGCCTGTTATAGGTGCTGAAAGTAAAAGATGATTTTGGGTCTCAAGGTCAGCTGGAAAGTTTTGAGAAAGGTAAAACAAGCGTGTGCACATCCCCTCACAATAGAAACAACTCTTTAGACAGAAGTACAAAAGTTTAGTGGTATGATGGTAAAAATAGAGGGTATTCCAGACGCAAAACTACCTTCTGAATATAACATGACTCAAAAACTTTGTAGATTCAAGCTGAAGAATTCTGTATAAAGCATGAAAGACCTTAGGATTATGAGGATATTAGGCTTCTCAATAACCTGTAAAATATTTGGGGGTTAGATTATGATAGGCTCTGCGGTACATTTTTAGGCTGCAAAGAATGTAGAAAATGGCCATAATCATTCCATTTTTAGTATGTGAACAATACAGGATCTTTTTTAGAAACCACCTTTGTTGTAAGAAACGATATTGACACGCAGTAAGGTTGGTGGCTTCTAAAAATTTTCAAGATGGTAATAGTGACATACTAAAGATACTCTGCTTAAAAAGTGTGATTTCTTAACTGTAAGGGTAAAAGCCAAGAGTGATTTTTACCTGTTACTTTACTCAGGGGTGCCATCAGAGTCACTCCAATTCTGTCTATTGCAATAACACGATGCACACTGAGAAACTGTTTCAGAGATGGGTGTATAACTTTTTGGCATAGGACAAGATCGATGTGGTCACTGACTAACTGCCTTCCTAGGTTAATCAGCTGGTCCAGGACTGCATTTTCAAGAGAAATTCCGTAACTGACCACCACTGTTCCTTCTCCAGTGTCAGAAACGTCTCCTGATAAAGTTGTACAAAAGACTGCCACCTTGAGAGCACCTGATTTTTTGGCTGGTAATAGCCTTGTTAATTGAACTTCTGACACTTCAATGAGTATTCCAGGTAATACTGTAGAATCTACAACTCTTTGACCTTTTAAAGGAACAATTATACTCGTTCCTAAAATGATATGGTCGTTAATGTTTTCTGGAATCGTAAGCAAAAAGGCTTGTAGAATCAAAGCACTGATATGATCAATTTCCTTTCTGGTGAGCATACAGGCAGGTTTACTTGTTAATATACTCCGCACCAAACAAAGAAGGACCTGAGTCCTACTAAAGTCAACTGGGATTCGACAACCACAGGCCTCCGACTTGAGATAACTGGTGCAGAGACTCAAAAGATGTTTATTTAAACTAATGACAGTGGTGGGTGTCAAGGCTATTCTCTGAACATTTTCAATCAGGTTACAGCAAAGAATGGCTGTGAATAAGCCACAATCACTGAAGCATGACACATGGTTCTGCACGGAAGTTGTCAGGATCTTTAATACGGGATGGGTGACCGAAAGGTGATGGAGCAGGGCTGAGGACTGTGAAGATGTACACACGTAACCTCCCAAGCCATTGTGCAGCTGCTTCAGCCTGCCTGAAGGGCCATAGCATGATGTCACGATTCCCTTCAGGACAGAAAGCGTGGCCCTGACTCCCTCACTCATCAGTGGTTCACTTGTACACAATGATGGCTTCTTGGCTTCGAAACGAGACATCTTATTTTAGGTGAAGACAGCTTTTATTGTGAAGACAGCTTTTATTGCGAAGACAGCTTTTATTTTGTGAACCATATTTTGCTATTTATTGCATTGCCATGCGTTTTAACATTTGAAAAAATTATTCTTTAGAAATGAAAGTCTGGTTATGCAGCATTGTGGCCATAAAACTATATAATTAGATGTTTATGTAGCTAATCAGCATATTATTTAATGATAAATTAGTAATTCCAAATATTTATTTTACTTCACTCTTCAATATTCTTTTGTTTGTCTCTAGATTGAGACTTTACAGACTGCTTTGCAGTCCTCTGTATAAAGTATGTCCCAAGATGGACACCTATGAAAGCTACCCCAGCTACAAAAAGCCAGTTCTTTCTAATCCAACTGGTGTTTTTCATCTCTTCTTTCAATATCAAGCTCAGATTCAAAGCTGCTTCTTTCTATAAGAAATAAAAATAAAATATTTTAGAGAAACAATTCTAAAGCATTTTGCAGACTGCAGTTGAATAGTTTATTCTAAAGCTTTGCTTCTTTTAAAGAAAAAGTTAGCTACCAACTGGCACCAGCTTCCAGAAAATAAGAAAGGTAAGCCAACTTAGACTTTATTCTTCAATAAATCCTCTCTACAAGAAAAAGTGCTTATATCTCAATGATTTTGGAATGCCCAACAACATGGTTAAAAAGCTTACAGTATAGTTATTTGAATATGGCATGCTTCTAGAAAACAAAAGCTACACTGTAAGATATAGAATTTGGTCTGGGTCTTAAAAAATAGTCTCAAAATTTTTTTTCTTTCACATCGAGATTTAATGCTATGTTTTCATCTGTAACTATGGTTTGCTTAGAAACTTTAGGTTGGAACAGAAGTGCATTTATATCAAATACTGCTTGAAAACAAGATACTGGTTAGCATTTCTACTGCAGAAAATCACTAATGTACAGTCTATATTAAGCTGAATAAATCTGCACAACACATTGTACCAAAGAACAAACCATGTTTACAAATCAGAGCTAATCTTCTATATAGTTTTACTCTATCAACCAGTGATTTTCAGTTTTGAAAGTCCAAAACAACAAATCCTCCCCAAAACATTGGTTAATGACAATACAAACAAAAACCAAGGTATGTGCTGGATGACAAAAAGGAAAAGAGGATCTAATTTGCATTTCAATTTCAAAGAGTCTAAATAACACAAAATGTTATATATTAAATGGACACACAGAAATACTAGTTTCCTTAACAAGGTAGTGCCCTGCATAAAATCCTGACATGTTAATAACCACATGGCAAAAGGATAAAAAGCTTAGGTCATAGACTATCTGTTGAGGCATGGTGATGTAATTATTAGTATTTCCAGGAATATGCTAACTATGCTAGCCATTTGATGAGTATTTAGCATAAATAAAACTCATCTAACTACTCAGCCTAAAGTACTTCTTAAAGTAGGCTATGGCATAGTATGATATAGACCAAAACTGAGATTTGAAGAAGTGCAAAGAGGTGGGCAGAACAAGGGAATGTTATGCAAAGTGTTATTTTGGTTACTGCTCCCAATTTAGTTAAAAGGCTGTAACCATGGCAACTAGGTCCAAATAAAGGGAAGGCAATGATGGTCAGCTTTCTTCCTGTGATAAAGCTATAGTCAACTTTTTTTATGCCATGATGAGAATAAAAAAATCTGTTTATCTATAGAAAAAGCCAAGGTACTTAAATATTATTTTGATGGCTTTTTCAGATTCAGCAAAATCTGAGAATTTAAGTGAAACCTTAGCAAAGAGACTTCTACACAGTAATTTGCACATATTAAAATTTACACACATACACAAAAAATACAAAAGAAACTATGATTAATCAAATGATTTCTACAGTTAGAAAATTTTCAATACTTAATAGTGACATTTAACTTTTTAGAAGAATGCCATGTTGGCATCTGTTAGTCTTATGGTAGACAGACAAGTAAACACATCTTTTGGCTGGTATTTCCAGAAAATGAGAAGGGAAGAAATCATTGAGAGTTTTGGTGACTCCCAAACCATTTTTAAGACATTGAAACTTGCTGATTTGTAGTTATAGGTCTACACCTGGACAAAATAAAATGTAAGAAAAAGGTAAAAAGCAAAACACTGGAAAATGTTTGGAAGTGTCAGTTCTTTCTTCCTAAACAAAGTGCTCCATAATTCCAAAAGTTACCATCAGATGAATGGTCCTGGCTATTCCTGGATGCATAGGCCTGGCAAATGATTTTTATTTTACTATCTCCTCCTTCCCTCCCTCCTTTCTGTCTTTCCTCTCTCTTTTATGATGGTTAGCTTAATTAAAATAACAGTAAAATTTACATGATTGTTTTCTCAGTGAAGAGATACAGTATAAAATATGATTTAAAAAATATGGCTGGGCATGGCGGCTCACACCTGTAATTCTAGCACTTTGGGAGGCTGAGGCAGGAGAACTGCATGAGCCCAGAAGTTTGAGACCACACCAGGCAACATAGTGAGACCTTATCTCGACAAAAAATAAAAAAATTAGCCTGGTGTGGTGGTGTATGCCTACAGTCCCAGCTACTCATGAGGTTAGGCAGGAGGACTGCCTGAGCCCAGGAATTTCAGGCTATGGTGAGTGGTGATTGTGCCACTGCACTCCAGCCTGGGTGACAGAGTGAGAACCCGACTTAAAAAACATACACGTACCACCCCCCCCACCCAAACCAGGGGTGCCAAAACAATGTATACAGGTCTTAAGAGATGTATGTCATAATCAGAGGTGTCTGGACACTGACACTTTTTTTATGGCACAAAGAGAATTAAAAAATCTGTTTATCTATGCTAGAAAAAGCCAAAACCACTTTGAGCACCTCTTTTTTTTTTTTTGAGCACCTCTTGTAATTGCAGAAGTCAAATATGACTTGCATCCATCATTCATCTTGTTAAGCATTACAATTTAAATACAGCCTTTTCTTTTCTTAAAATGTGTATACATTTTTTTGGCACCGTGTATGTGTGTGTCTGTGTGTGTGTGTGTGTGTGTGTGTGTGTGTGTGTGTGTGTGTGTGTTGTGTAGATGGATATAAATATGTATGACAGGTAAAAAAAAAATGTTCTTCTAAAAGGAATTAGGGTCCTTTGAAAAAACAGCTGATTCTAGTTGAGCTGGGGCATTTTCTGTTCAAAAGTAAAGGTGTACCAAAGATTACTTGAGTCACACCAAATATGTCAATAATTCATATTGACACCAAAAACAAAAACCCTAAGCTGCCAGAGCACTCATTATGGTAACAACCAATAAAGGAAATCAGGAAAATAAAGCACTTGTCTTGCCTTCTCTGTATGAACGGATTTGGGGTAACTGAATAGTTGATGGAAGTTGTTCCAGCTAATAAATGAAGGAATGATAGAACCTGAGCAGCATCATTTAGCATCCCCAGTGAAATAATGTATCAGACCTACACAGTGGTTGGTAAATTAAGCCTATGAACCATACCCAATCCACCACCTGTTTCTGTAAATAAAGTTTTGTTGGAATGCAGCCAAGCTCATTCATTTGTGTATTGTATAATGTGCTTTCACACTGTTCACGCTACAACAGAAAGCTCAGTGGTTCGTACAGAGACCATATGGTCTGCAAAGCCTAAAATATTTATTATTTGGTCTTTCATAGTAAAAAGAAAAAGTTTGTCAACTTCTAGGTTAGAGTAATGACCATCAATAAATGCTAATAATTCATTCAGTAAAGGATCGATGGGGAACTTTATAATGGAGAGATAACATTGATAACTTGCTTGTTAATCTTAGCAGCACCCGAAGTGAATCAGACATTATATGTGAAACATGTGAATACCCAGGAAATATTCTTGTTCAAAAAACAAATAAATAAGCCAAATCAAAGTAAGCCTTTTGATCTAGCTACCAGATTTCAGGAAACAGAGGAAAGAGAAATTTGTTAAATGACAAAATGAGGACGTAATTATCCAAATTCAGAATATGGGAAATTTTTTAAAAAGCAGATTAGGAATGGAAATAAAATAGATGAAGAAAGACTTTAAGTGCAATATGTGGACCTTGTTTGGATCCTGATTCTAACAAACCATCTGTAAAGAAGATGCTTAAAGACAAATTCATAAATGTGAACATGGCCTGGGCATCAGAGCATACTAAGAAGTTCCTGTTAACTTTTCCTGTGTGGTACTGCAAATGCAGTTGTGTATCTGAGTTTATTCTTACTGACAAAGATATTGAAGGCCTACACAGTAGAGCTTAGGATTTGCTTTAAAATAGTCTAACAAAAAAAAGGAAAAGATGAATAAAAGAAGATTGGTAAAATGTGAAAAAGCTGGTTGATGGATACTCTATTTGGGGATATATATGCATTTTCTATAATACAAGTAAAAATAAAAAATAAGTAACACACATAACACATTTTTTTGATATACTTCAACTATTTGGAATTGGTGTTTAACTCACTCTAAATGTGCTTTTAACTTTTGCTTACTCAAGGGCTTTAAATATCTGCAACACTGCTTGACTGGCAGTGTTGGCCTCTTAAAACGTCTAACTATTGCTGCACTGGCATCTATTACCTCTTATATTCATCTAATATCTAGAGAAGATACTTACTTCTCAGCTTTACTTTTCCTCCAAGAATATCTTAATATTCCATGTATTTCTATTTGCACAAGGAAAAACTACTTAATTTTTTCTCCCAGGGTTTGCCTATAACTGGCCCCAAACTCAAGCCAAGAATTAAAGGAAAAAATGTTATCACACTCACACACACACACACACACACACACACACACACACACACACACAGTCCCATTACAGTCTGGAAGCCTTTACATATAAAAATCAAGCATCTAATACATACTCTAAGTCACTGCTCACATACACTAAAACTCCTCCTATAAATAAAGATTTTACACGGAATGTCCTAAGGTTACTCTTCTAAGTTGTTAAGCTTCTATTTTATGACCTGGCTTTTTATATTAATAATTGTCTAATATATTAGATCATGTTTTTCCATTTTCCCTACGGACATTTAAAAATAAAATCTTGATTTAAAATAATGTTGTAACCAGTAATTATATCACAAGTCACAATCTCAGACCTAGCTGGGCTCGGTGGCTCAGCCTATAATCCTGTGCCTTTGGGAGGCTGAAGTGAGTGGATTGCCTGAGCCCATGGGTTCGTGACCCGCCTGGGCAGCAAGACTTCATCTCTACAATAAAAATCAAAAAATTAGCTGGGTGTGGTAGCACGCGCCAGTAATTCCGGCTACTCAGAAGGTTGAGGCGGAAGGATCGCCGGAGCCCAGCATGTCGAGGCTGCGGTGGCCGTGAGTGGCCACTGTACTCCAGTCTGGGCGACAGAGCGAGACGCCAACTCAAAAAAAAAAAAAAAAAAAAAATCTCAGACCTCTTATAAATAAGGATAATCTTACTGAGGTCCTCCTTTTTGTAAGGAGTGGACCCTTACATTTGTATGCCAAAATTTAAGAGTATTACTCACTTCACACATTGGTCCCCCTCTCACATTTAAAAACGTAAATTAGAATGTGAGAGGGGGACCAAAAAACCCCCCAGAATTTATTTATAGAACTGTGTGCATTTATTCTTACATGTTAAACTTCAGTCACCTTCAAAGTGTTCTGTTAGTACACCTATCAAGATGCTTTTTCTACTGCTCAAAACAGTTTTTGAGCTTGTCAATTTTGATGCCTTTTAGTGCTTCTGCCATTTTTTGTCTCCTCTTCCACATCAACAAAACATTTCCCTTTGAGGACTTTTTTAAATCTGGGAAAACAAAAATAAGTCATTTGGAGCGAATGGGGTACATATGAATGGTGGGGCATGGGGATCATGCCAGTTTTGGTCAAAAACTGCTGAGCACTCAGCACAGTGTGGTCAGGTGCATTGTTTTGGTAGAAGAACCAGTCATCTGTTTGCCACAACTTGGAACATTTCTTCCACAAATCATGACACAATCTTTTCAAAACTTCCAGAAAAAAATTGATGGATTCCTAGAACACCTACCTAATGAGGAAGCCTTGTACTAAAAGGGGCCTCCCCTCTAAAATATAATTTCAGTTTTTTTGGGTACCCCTGTAGAAAATGCTTCATAAATTACAGGGTCACAGTTGTTTTTTTTTTGAGTTGGAGTCTCACTGTCACCCAGGCTGGAGTACAGTAGCCACTCCCGGCCACTGCAGCCTCGACCTGCTGGACTCCGGCGATCCTTCCGCCTCAGCCTTCCAAGTAGCCGGAATTACAGGCATGCACTACCATGCCCGGCTGATTTTTTGATTTATTGTAGAGATGAGGTCTCACTGCCTAGGCGGGTCTCGAACCCGCGTACTCAGGCAATCCACTCACCTCAGCCTCCCAAAGGCACGGGATTACAGGCTGAGCCACCGAGCCCAGCGGGTCACAGTTCTTTACCTAAAACCCCAAGGGTCAGATGAGTTTCCTAATTCAGAATTTCTTGGATCTTAAACATATAATGTATGTAACATTCATAATCAAAACAATATAGCATATAATATCCATAATCAATATAATCGCAACACTCATAATCAAACACAACAGAATTTCTGCAGTGAAACTCAACTTGCATAGTAAGTGAAATAAATACAGCAGTCCCACCCTAAACTATGAGGGATATATGTTCCAAGACTCCCAGTGGATGTCTGAGACTGCAGATAGTACTGAACCCTATGCATACTATTTTTTTCCTATATACACGTATCTGTGATAAAGTTCAGTTCATAAATTAGGCACAGTACTCTTTGGGGGCATCATGAAATAAAAGGGGTTACTCGAACATTCACACAGCGATACAGTGACGGCTCATCTGATAACCCATGCTGCTACTAAGAGATGCACAAGCAGGTGGCATCTATGGTCTGGCTATGCTGGACAAAGGAATGACTCATGTCTTGGGTGGGATGGAGTAGGACAGCACAGGATTTCATCTCGCTACTCAGAACGATGCATAATTTATAACTGCTTATAAATTTCTGTAACTTTTTATTTAATATTTTCAGACCATGGTTGACCGTAGGTGACAAACTGTAAAAAGTGAAACTGCGGATCAGGAGAGACTACTGAAAACTGCCTCGTGTCATTTAAGATCAAATTTTGTTGCCAAAGGGGTAGCGACAAAATGTTTTAGTTTTCAGAACTTTTTGGATTTGGAATTTTGGATAAGGGACTATAGACCCAAATTATATAAATACAACTTCTTTATTTCAGACTCTTAAAAGTAGCAAATTATGCTGAGTACAAAGAACAGTCATAAAAGAAACAAATCTGCAAATTTCAGACTTTTGTGGTATGTGATGGGTTTATGGTTAAGGAGTCAGCTGCTCCTTTGTACACATTCATGATTCTAGTGATGCTGCTAGCAAAACTGATCTTTTCCTTTTCATCCAGATGACTGCCAGCCAAGTGTCTAGAAAAGTGCAACAAACTTTTCTAGAAACAACTGCAGAGTAAGATTTTGCCAGTAGGTCGTAACAAAAACAATAGGTAGCTTGCCAAGTTAGGCTTTTTCTTACCAGAGTTCTATAAGATCAAGTTTCCCAATGGTTAACTACATTAAATCGAATTTACCTGAAGATTGCAAGTCTACTATTTCCCTTGGATTCGGCTCTTCTGTGGACTTGCAAGTGCCAGACTATCTTGCTCAGGAATGTTGTCCTTATTGGGCATTTGGAAAACAGGGCTGCTTTTGATTCTGTGCCACCCCAAGTGTATGAGCCCAACTAAAGGCACCATAACAATCAGAACCTTGTAGTCTCTCCAGAAGTTCTGAAAGCTCATAGTACTTCAGCATCAATGTACCTAAGAAAAGGAAGGCTACAGTTAAAGGAGAAAAAAAAAAAAAAAAAGCCCGCAAAACAACAAACTACCTTGAATTACATTTAAACCAGTACATAATACCTTAAACCACTACAAGTGGCATACTGCACTCTAATAAAAGCTGTTACACACTTTTAGCTATAATATAGTGTAATGCTAATAAACAAAAAAAGACGTTATAGACACATAGGTATAGTAGGAAGTCAGGTCTGGGAAACTTATAAAACAATAGTAACTTTTAGTCAACAACCACAAAGGAACAAAGTCAGCAACTGTACAAGAGCAACATTACTGCTGGGAAAGCTTTATGAAACTTGAGAAACACGTATAGAGTGTTAAATATATTATTAACGTACTCCCTCTGAACCACAGTACAGTTTTTTAAAAAAATTACATTTAGCCACAATTTTAACAGAAGAATCAAATAGTAATCCATAAATATGTAGTAACAACTTAGGTCCTATATTCTGACAGGATTTAAGTGGTAATGTTTCAACTGAGATCAGAACAGTCAAGCATGATTCCAACTGTAGCAAAAGACTTTTGGCTCGGATGCTATGACTAAAATAAATTAATGCCATTTCCACATTTATGTGTTAAACCACTGCACATTAGAGTATGCCCTGAATTACTAGTAACCCTACCCTACAGGGTCATGTCAACCCACTTTACATGAAGAAACAGGGGTTAGAAAGTTGCCTGAAGTTACAGATCTAGTTAGTGTTGAAAATAGACTTTTTGGGGAAGGTGGAACACACCTCATCAACAAGGGTACCTGAATAATGAACATTTGTATACCTAACCCTGAATTTTACCCCACATCATTAAAATACAAAATTGAAAGTTAAAACAAGACTTATTTTTGGTCTTTGATTTGGATGAAAATCATAACGTGGGGCCCAGGAAGACTGTATTCTCATGATCTGTTGGATGTGGGAACTGGAGTCTGGATAATCTCTAAAGACTCCTTATACTTTTACATTTAAGGGACATTTATTAGGCTTTAGTGATTAAGACATGATGATGTGAATGGTGTTTCCATGTTCCAAGTTCCTTTCTAAGCACAGAGGTAAGGAGTGCTCCATCATTTACAGGACATGCTAAGAACTCGGATGAACTGCATCTTTGTGAGTTTTAGTACCATGAAATCTCTGAAATTACTTTGTCTAAGTTTTGTCTAAATGCCATTAGAAAAATGTTTGAACAAAGTTTCTACTTATTCTCTCCCTTTTAAGTCAAGAATAAATACAGTAGTAATGAGCTAAATAACCTAAACTGTCTCTTTGTTTTGTGCATACATATTAAAAATAAACAGAAAGCTTCAAATCTCATATCTATGACATATTATTCACAGCATTAGAAACCATTTCTCCCCAAGGTCTAAATTCACATTTCATAAGGACGTTGCTGCTAAACTTAAACTACTAGATGCAGAAAACATGATCTACTTTGTAACTGAAAGTATTTTATGGCTTTTTCCTTGTTTAAAGTATCTTATATACTTTTTTGCAACCTTCAGAGACCATAGCTTTTATTGACATACATATGTTCTATTTTGGGGGGACATCAATTACAAATAACTGTACCATGACTAAATTATGAAGCCCATTGTGTAAACATCTTTGGAGATTTGAGGGCACAATAAAATAAATGGGGGAAAAAGGAGGCAATTTGGAGAAATGAGAGAAAAATTCTAATAGTGGTTACTTCTTAAGAAAAGGAGGAACAAGGCTGTAACAAAGTCCACTTGGTTTATGTTGATTGACATGCTGCATTTTTGTTCACACAACACCTTGAACCAGATGTCTAGAAGATAATGTTATTCATTTCCAGTCTGTTCAGTACTTGATTTTAGGACCTCTGTCATTCTCAACATGAGGTTATCAAGTCACAGGACTTTTAACAGATGATACCCCTACTATTCACCATTTACTTCTCCATGATCTTTACCACAACTCAACATTTGTCAGCTTTTTTCTGAACCACAATTAAAAAAAAAAAGCTTTTAGGAGACTAGTTTGGGTAAAAAGAAATAATAAAACTGGGATTAAAAACTCAAGAACTAAAATTCAGAGCACATTAAACTACGATCTGCAATACTAATTAATGTCTGGGAAACTGCTGTACTGTTCTCTCCATGTGGTGAACAGCATGTAAAGTGATGTACTGTGAACCTTCCTTGGAAGAGTGAAAATGGGATCTCAGAATAGGATCAAGTTAGTTCCTTACACTTAGCAAATCTTAGGGTCATTTTCCAGACAAAAGAGGTACTCCATTTTATGTATACTGTGCTTCACAGTTTATTATTCTTTCCAACAGGCTAACTTAAAAATCTATGAATCTTTTTCTAGGTTTAAGCTTAGTTAAATCTGAAAATTAGCATCTATTTTGGCTGAAAACTCATTATTTGCTAAACATCAGCGTTCCAGTATAGTATTTCGAAGTTAGTAAATGATGCGAACTGACTTAATGATTAGTTGCTTTAATATTTACTGCTACATGTCCCTATTTCCTCAAATTCTTTAGATGTCACATATTAATTTGGTTAATGGGAGTGAGAGAACAGGTATCTATTTTCAACAGATAATTTTGTCGTCCTCTGAGAGTCTTGGAAAATGATTAGGATCAGGATAATTGGGCTTTTTACTATACAAAATGCTTTCAGAGTCTTCGTATTTAGTCCACATAAAAACACGGAGGATCACCCAGCAAGATGGAACTGGCACTTTTTAAAATGGCATTGGCATATAACTTTAACCTATTTGCAATTCTTTATTTAGTAGCTTTCCAGCACGTGTGATCTATTGCCTGCATAACTAACTTCCCAGGGCCAGATACATTAGGTTTTACTAAACAAAGCTCACTGCTAGTTTTACAAAAAAGACAACATAGTTCTGAAATTTCATATGTGATATGAGAGTTAGTGAGGTAATGCGTTATTTATTTTGTTCATAAATTCTTGCAGAGTTTTTAAATACAGTCCAACATTTTGAGGATATTCTTTTGACTAAATGCTTTTTTCTTAGTTCTTTTATGGGGTATTTTCAAAATGAAACAGCATTACTGCCCTTTTCTTAAAAAATATAGCACAGGCTTACTTTTTAAAGGTAGCAAATACAGAAATAAGCTAAAATCTTTTTGGTTCTAAAAAAAATGTGACCCTAATATACATGCAGTTTTATAGCCTTCTCAGTTTCTAAGAATATAAATCTCTATCATCATTTTTAATAGCTGTACAGCATTTTATTCTATGGAGAGATCCAATCTTTGACTGGCAGAAATTTGAGATTTTTTTCAGTGGCTATATTGCTAAAGATGCTATGGTGATAAATGTTTGTGTAAATACTCCAGAGTCCTTGGCTCATAGCCTCTAAATGCTGCTTCTCAGAATACTACAAAGAACTTACAAATTTCTAACTTGCAAATTGTTAAATTAACTCATTTTCAAATGAACTTGACAAGGTTTTCAGTTATTTTGTTATTTTTAAAATTTTCTTATTTTGAGTTGGCGTTTCACTCTGTTGCCCAGGCTGAAGCACAGTGGTACAATCACAGTTCACCAGCTTCTTCCACCTCCTGGGCCCACAACATCCTCTTGCCTCAGCCTCCTAGGTAGCTGGGACTACAGGTGTGTGCTGCCATGCTTTTTTTTTTTTACTTTGTAGAGACAAGGTCTTGCTATGTTGCCCAGGCTGGTATTTTTTGTCAGCATCTCACCTGGTTGCCCAGTCTGGTACGGTAGCATAATCACAGCTCACCACAACCTCGACCTCCTGGGTTCAGGTGATCCTCCTCCTCAGGCTCCCTAGTAGCAGGGACTACAGGTGTGCACCACTATACCCAGCTAATTTTTTTAGGAATGATGTCTCGCTATATTGCCTAGGTTGTTTTCAAATTTTAAAATTCCTGGGCCTGTGCAATCTTACTGCCTTAGCCTCCTGAAGTGCTGGGATTACAGGCATAAGTTATTGTGCTGGACCCTGCCACGGTTTTAAAATTCTTGACTTTCACAAAGATTCGTGGTTCTGGGTAACAGAGAGACTAGAAGATTCAATTTGTGAAACAGAAACTTAAACTAATTACAGTTTACCTTGAGATGGTCCTTCCCTCTATATTTGGTAGTCATCCTTCCAAGTGGAATGGACTGTCTTATGGACACCAGAGATTCCTGAGTCTGAAACAAAGATTTCTTGAGAATATGCTCAAAACGGTAAGGTCTGATGAGCATAACAGGCTAGTCCCTAAAACAAGTGTTTGTTGTTCATTCACTGAACATTTCAAGTTTAGAATAAAGCAGCAACAAAAATGACAAACATCCTTCCCTTTCTTCCCCTCCTGTCGTGTGCTTGCCACTGCCCTTTTCTTATCATTCCTTAATCGTCTTTGAACACTCCTTAAAAAAAAAGACTCCTTTAGAAAAATGGGAGAAATCAAGAGACGTGAAATGAGATTTATGCATTTTAGGTCAAGTAAAATAGAGTCAATACTTATAGCTTTATCTGATGAAATGTCTTTTGTTAAGTTTAGAGGCAATCCCAGCATAGATTATGCTTTCTTACACTTCTTTCTCAAATATCTATATAAATTGCATTATTCAGAAGATTTCATAATGTTTTGTTTTCATAACAATTTTAGGTCATTTTATAAATGAGGAAACACTGAATAATTGATTCTAAGATTACTGTCAGTTAACTGTAGTGCTCAATTCAAATTATGGAATCTTAAAAGTCTTGACTGGTATTCTATTAAGCAATTTTCAAGTCAAGAAACAGTGCCTCAGGTTGGGTAGTGCAGGCAGTCAGTTTCCAGGAGTAATGATGGAAGAGAAGAATATTCCATTGCATGGTGCATATTTGGGGGAGTCAGTGAGGTCAACTACCCTGGCATGTTCTTCTAATTCTCACGTCAGGTTTAAGAGGATAACAGTGATCTTGTTTCACTTGTCCAAAATTACAGGGCAAAAGAATCTATATCCTCAAATACACATCTGTGACCTACTAAAAGTTGAGATTAGTTGGACTAATTTTAGTTCAGTTTTAATTTAGCTCTCAATTACAGAATGACAGTGAGAGATTAATGAACTGACGGGGGAGAAGCTTGCTATACCTCTCTTTATGTCATCTTTTTAAGTAGCTATAAAGACCAAGAAGGGAAAACACTTATATGCATATCAGATACAGATACTCTGAATCTTAGGTGCTACAGTGCCTAGGACAGCAACTTTCCTCCCCTACTTTGCAATACAGAGATTACTATTTCTTCGTTTCTACCCATAAGGCCTCTGACAGGCTTTCTACAATTTGTTACATTCCCAGAGAAATGAAGGTTTCTTGGTGACAGAACTGGACAATAAAGTGAAGGGCTAAAGGCAATGAAACTTCCTGGAACATTCAAACATTGGCTTTAGCTATTAGGTTACTCTATATAGTACAGTGTCAATTAAAACCATCAAGTTTTGCTATTGCTCGCTTCAAAATTAGGCTTAAAACAATTTGGATGCAGGAAATAGTCTACAAGAGGGTCTTATTTTGTCTATTGGATTTGCTGCACGCCATCTGCTGGTCATTTGGACACAGTGTAGGGCAGATTGTTTTTTAAAGTTTTCAATGCTGTTTCTGCCTAAAGTTTTTGAAAAAATAGTTATTTTTTAAAACTGCTAGAATGTAATTGAACTTTGAAGAGAACATTAGACAGAATGTTGAACAACCAATTAAACTAGCTCATATCATTATGAAATTTTTTGAAGTTTACTGGAATTGTATAATGTCTTTTCTTTTATGACAATGTTGGCTTTGGGTATTAATGAATTCTTCATTCCTGAATTCCAATCATCAATGTTAAAAATAGTTATTTGCCTGGGCATGGTGGCTAACGCCCGTAATCCCAGCACTTTGGGAAGCCCACTTGAGCCCAGGATATCAAGAGCAGCCCGGACAACAGTGAGACCTTGTTTCTACAAAAAAAAATTTAAAAATTACCCAGTCATGGTGGCACACACCAGTAATCCCAGCTACTCAGGAGGCTGAGGGTAAAGACTGCCTGTGCCTAGGAGCTCAAGGCTGTAGTGAGCCGTGATTGTGCCACTGTACTCCAACCTGGGTGAGGGTAAAACTGACTCAACCACCACAAAAAAGTTCTTTTTATCCTGATTTTTTTTATTGTAGCACTTTGAATTTTGGCATTTTGTATACTTTTTTTTTTTGAGGTGGAGTCCTACTCTCTTGCCCAGGCTGGAGTACAGTGGCACACTCACGGCCACTGCAGACTTGACTTTCTGGGCTCAGGCAATCCTTCCGCCTCAGCCTTCCAAGTAGCTGTAACTACAGGACTGCGCTACCACACCTGGCTAATTTTTTGATTTATTATAGAGACGAGGTCTTAACAAGTTGCCCAGGGTGGTCTTGAAGCCCTGAGCTCAGGCAATCTCCTCGCCTCGGTCTCCCAAAGTGCTGGGATCACAGGCTTGAGCTACTGCACCCAGCCTTGCACATTTGTTAGAAAGAACTGCACACTGTCTTCAACTGTGCCCATTCAACTGACTGACAAGTTAAAAAGAAATAAGAGTTTTCTTTTTCTTTCTTTTCTAACTCTGTATCACCTAAAATAACATCAGTTTCGTGGGACTTCTCTGGTTTCATAAAAACACACACTCTGAAAACATGACTGTCAACTCTTGACCAACGAATGGATCATAACTTAGTTCTAAAGTTTCCATTCTGTGAAGTCCTACCACCTCCCCCACCAAAAGGTCAGCTTAACCTGTACCCAATAGCAGGGCTGCTGACAGCACAGCCAAGTCAGGAGTGGATCTGTAGTCAGAGAATAGTGAAGGTCAAGACAGTTACATGAAAGAATTTTGTGGTCATTGCCATTTTCCTTGCCCATTACTGTGAGTTTATTTATCAATAAAAATATACTCAAAGCATCATGAGTCTCATATGGGATTTTCACTAATTATAAGAAGTCCAAAACATAAAGTGAGCAACGGACAACTAATGAGAAGTAATCATCAGCCTACTTGTAGGCTGTGGTCTATCAAAAAGGCTGTACGGTGTTGTCTGAGAGCCCCTTCATCCCTTTTCACTGTTTTTACACCCTGGCTGCCTTTGATGCTGGTGATTGGGTGGGGAAGGGGGTAGGTTCATGCAGATTGCCAGATCAAATGTCTAGTTTATCGGGTCCTTATGCTTGTCTGTTCTGAATCCCTAAAAGGCCAATTTCTATCCTTCATCATTTGCAAGGTTATGTTCCACCTTCGTTTCTGCAAATAACTATTGGCCAGAGGACATGATGGCTATTGGGTATCAAGAATTCGAATTCCTGTCCCCACAACAAAAGCCTGTGCATCCCGGCTCTCATCTTAACCTCCTTCCCTGCTGTCTCAGAGGAAGAACTGGCATTCCTGTTACCTATGTTCCAGTCCCACTTCCTCCTGTGTCTCCAGGGCTCTAACTCCACCATCCCCTCTTCTATCTCCAACCTCCCACTCTTCTGGGTCTTCCTCCTCTGGGCAACCATGATTATTTTTCTCCACTCAAAAAGCCAAAAACGAATTTCCTAAGACGACTGCCCTCTACCAATCTCCCTTCCAGGTATTATACAATCTCATTCCTTTCACTTATGCATCTTTTTCTAGAGTTACTTCTCATTCCATCTTCAAAACCAAGTAGTCTGCTTTTGTTCCTTTCTCCATGGAAACTGATCTGCCTATAAGGGTCACCAATCTTTCCCCTTACTGAATCTCTCTGAAGCATTTTGATGTGTTCTTGAAACTCTGTTCCTTCTCATTCTCCTTTAATAGCTGCTTGGTTTCCATTCATCTATTCATCCTTGGTAGTCTTTGTTTCCTGGATAGCATAATTCATACCCAAAGCTTCTATTATAAGTATCCACTATGGCTTTCCCATCTCCAGCTTACACCTACATATTCCACTGCTACTGTCCACCTTTGACCCCTCTATCCACAATTAGTCTAAACTCACCTGATACTGTATAAAAACAAATCCTTCCCTTCCCAAACTGCTGTTCCACCTGGATTTCCTGTTTGTTTTTTTTTCAGAAAACACTGTTATCTACTAAGCAATTTACTTCAGAAATCTGGCTGTAGTGGACTCTGCCCTTTTCCTCATGCTTCTCATCAACTCAGTACCCACATCCTGCTATCTGAAACGAGCATTTCTTTTATATAACCTCTCTCCAAGGCCACAGTTCAGACCATCACGCCCTGTCATGTGACCTCCTTGCTTCTAGCGCAGTAGTTCTCAAAATGTGGTCCCCTCAACAGTGCCATTAGCATCACCTGGTAACTTATTAGAAATGCCAATTCTCAGGCTGTCCCTGACCTACTGAATCAGAAATTCTAGGGTGGAGTTCAGTAATCTGTGTTTTAATCAATTCTGTAGAAGAGACTCTGAAGATAAAGTCTGAGAATCAGTTTCAGTCTATTTTCCACTAATTCATTCTCTATACTCTTAAAACAGTCATCTTGAAAAAAGATTTTAAAAAAAAGCAAAAAACATAAAACAAATCTGGTTGTGTTCCTGCTTTGCTTAGAAGCCTTTAGTGACATTTGGGACTAGAGTGTAAAATCTAATTTTCTTAGTACAACAGAAAAAACCCACCACACTCTAATTCCAGTTTTCAGAAAGTCAAGCACTGTAAATCACTTTAGAAAGAATGCACTGTCATTAAAGGATGAGCTGTGGAATCACACTGCCTGGCTTTGAATCTCCACTTTACCACTTTACAACTGGCATTGTGGCTCTGTATCTTACTATGTCTCAGTTCTATCTTCTGTAAAATTAGAATAATGAACTCGGTGTCACAAGCCTGTTGTGCAGTTAGCACAATACTTGGCAGTTAGTTTGGGCTCAATGATTGTTAGCTATTAACATTCTGATTATTTCAAAGGGTAAAAAACATTACTGGAGTTAACATGGAGTACCAAGAACAAGAGAGGAATGGAATGAATGCCCCAGACTAAGGAAAGTGGTCCCAACAGAGGAGACCCTACTTCTCTGAGCAGTTTGTTAATTAAATATGAAGAAAAATGCCCAGATTCTCAAGAAAGAGATTTTAGGTCTTTGGGGGATATTTTGATCAAGGCAGGGCGAATCCGGTAATCAGATTCTATGATGTCATAGGACAGACAGCAGTCAAGGTCCAGGAAAGCTGTGAAGGAAATTGGAAAACTAAGATACAGAGCAAAGCAGGAAACACAGGGTGAATAATTCCATGTTTTTCTGATAACAGTTAATAAAGCTAGAGTTGCCAAGTGATTAAACGTGGGAGTCCTAGTACAACTGAGACTTAGTTTGCATTTTCAGAAATGTTGTCAGTTATCTAAGAGCAAAAGCTTTGAGTAATGATGGGAATCAAGTTCTAATCTCCATTACACATTAGTTATGATCTTAAACAAATTACTTCTTTTCTGCCTTCATATTGTTATCTGTAATAGGGGGTCACATTATGAAGATTATCATATATGTTCATAGCTTAGTACAGAGCCTAGTATGCAGGAAGCATTTAATATATGACAGCAATTATTATTATTGGAAGTATATTATCTTTAATACAAATCATATATAGAAATAGGCACCACTGGAGACTCCTAAGTTGTTCAAAGTAGCTATATATCATCATCAAATATTATGACTAATGTTATAACTTATAAAACTACAAAATATTGTAAAGACATCCAAATACAGTCACGTCTTCAGTGTTCACATCATTTGGGGTTTATCAATTTTTCATTTCAAATATATGTGAGATTAATTTTATTCAAATGCTCACTTAGTGTCTGCTAAACACCAGCAAGACTATTAGGCTCAGGGGAGGAACGATCAAGATGGGGAAGAACACAGGTTTGGGAAGAGAAAGGGACAATCCTAGTAAGACAAGACTCAGTGCTACATAGGAGCAGACCCACACAAAACCCTACCTAGCTTAAAAGTCTTTAACAAGTTTTTCAAAACCCTACTTCTGGTTTTCTCCTCTATCTTCCTCTGAATTAGTCCCGCTCCAATTTTACTTACTCCATCTTTAGTTACAACAGGGAGTCAAGATCTATAAAAACCAGTGACTGCCACCCACTTTAGCAGAAGGTAACAGCCACTTGTTTTGTTTCTTTGCTGTATTCCAAGGGCAAAGCACAAGTAGAGAATCTTGCTCCTTTTGTTCCACACAGGGCAGCTTCTTCTTGTGCTTCAGCTCTGGTGCAGATGTCACCTCCTTAGAAGCCTTTCTCTGAGTACTCATCTGAGGATTCTTCCCTCTCCCTCCCCCATTATTCTCTAGGCCTTCTTCAAAGCCCTACCTTGGTGGTGAATGCTGTGATGTGATGTGCCTCCCCTATCCCTTAGAAATGAAAAACTTTTTCCCCAGCTCCTGGGAGTGTTGAGGCAGCCCTCAGCTGCCAGCCCCCCTCCAGGATCCACTTGGCTGAAGCTATGACCTTTTTGGGGCAGCAGGCATCCAATGGCTGATCAATGCAGGGGTACAAAAGCCCAACCTTTCCTCAACTTTGAAAGGCCAACCTAGCACCAGACTTCCCATGACTGGTAGAGGCCTTCCTTGGGACTGCACCACGGCTCAGCTTTTTCTACCTGACTAACCTTGTTTGCTTTCTTCCTTGATAGTGATCCAAAAGTCCTCTCTGATTAATGTCCTGCCCTCAAATCTCTTCAGATTCTGCTTCCCAGGAAACCTAGGACAAACTAGAAACACATTGTTCATCATCAGCATTAAGGAACCCCTGGGCACCTGTGGAGGTTTGGTTCAAGGGGCCTCCAGAGGATGCCAGAAGCTCAAGTCCCTTATATAAAATGGTACATAGTATTTGCATGTAACCTATGCACATCCTTCTGTATGGTTTAATCTAGATTACTTATAATACCTAATGCTGTATAAATGTTATGTAAATGACTGTTATACTGTATTGTTCAGCAAATAATCACAAGAAAAAAGTCTATTTGTTCAGTACAGATGAAACTGTCCATTTTTTTTTCCTTTTCAGAATATTTTCCACCCATGGTTGGTGGAATACACAGTTGTGGAACTCCCAGACAGGGAAAGTTGACTATGCTTGCTTATTTTCTATTTAACTTTTTAGGAAAATATAGAGATGGAGTATCACTATGTTGCCCAGGCTGGTCTCGAACACTTGGCCTCAAGTGATCCTACCACCTTGGCCTCTCAAAGTGATGGATTACAGGCATGAGCCACCATATTCAGCCTATACTTGATTAATGTTTCTTTCCCCACGACTGGCATATACGCTCCATGTAGTTGGAACCCTGCCTGTCTTGGTCACTGCTGTATGTACAAACTCATCTCATCACCACATGTATGTGTATATATAAAGTAGTATATATAAGTAAAAATACAGGGGTGCTAAAAAAAATACACATTTTAAGTATGACCCACTCAAAAGATGATATTAATCAAATGAATGCTAGCATCTCCATGAGATAGGCAGGACAAAGAAAATGAGGGAAGCACGGTCGAGTGAACTTCATACTACTCATTGCTATTATAATTCAATTCAACTTTGAAAAGCAAAAATAGATAACATCTCTTAAAATGTGCATACATGTTTTGAGCACCATATGCATATATGCTTCAGCTCTGGTACAGATGGCACCTCCTCAGAAGTCTTTCTCTGAGCACTCATCTGACATTTCTTCCCTCTCCTTCTCCCATTATTCTCCAGCCCTTCTGCAAAGTCCTACTTTGGTGGTGAATGCTGTCATGTGCCTCCCTGATCCCTTAGGAATGAAAGACATTCCGCCATGTTTCTACACACACACACACACACACACACGTGTATATATACACGTATATATGTATGTGTGTGTGTGTAGGCGTTAATGTATCATCTGACGATGCTGACGAATGAATGAAAACTGTCAACCTGAGAGCCTCCGAGACAGCGACAAGTTCTGGGCAGGGTACCACCCGGGAGGAGGATGGACGTGACCCCTGGAGGTCATCCCTCGAACGTCACGGGCCCCGTCTCTGCACTCACAGGTGCAGGGCCGCGCGGTGCAGCGAGCCAGACGCCCGGATCCCCGGCGGGCGACCCCGCCTCCCGGCAGCCTCGGGCACCCTGCGCACGTGTGCACCCTCCTTCCAGACGGACGCGGCGTGCGGCGTCCCTCCCGAGGAGGGGCAGCGACCAAGAAGCCACAGGTGGCGGCGCAGGGCTCTCGGCCCATCCACTCCACGGGAGGGCACGCAACTCTCCCCGCCGTACCCACGGTCCCGGGCGACCTCCGTTCCAGCGGCAAGCGCTTACCGCCCATCGCTAGGCCACAGGTGAGACTCTGGCCTCCTGCAAGTCCCCGCCCCCAAATATCCTTCAGTGAGGACGCCGGCGACCTCCGGGAGGGGAAAAGGCGGAGGATAACTACAAGTCCCTTCCCCTCTCTTTGGCCGGACAGAAAGCTGGCTTCTCCACCGGAGGTTCCAGCGTTCTCACCTGCCCACCAACCGCCGCGCCTCCCCAGGCAGCCGCCGCCCCCAGCAGGCTGTAGAGGCCGAACCGCCCGCCGCTGCCGCCGCCGATTCCGGGCTACTTACGTCCCGCGTGGGGGCACGGAGCATGCGCAGCTCGGCGGTCGGCGTCGAACCCGTTCGGTATCCACTTCTCCGGGTTTTGGGTGAAGTTCTTAGTCCACCCAAGCGGTCGCGGTCGCAGAAGGGAAAGCGGGGGGGGGGGGGGGCGTGCAGAGTTCCTGCAACGTCTGTCTCGGCAGATGGTTGAAATGGAAAATTGAAAGTAACACTTAAATAGCAGTGTCAAAAAGGCACAGCTTCTGCCTTTTGGGGCGCGCTTAAAATGTATTTACTGAAGGAATGATAAAGTCCGCCGTTTTTGGCTTTTCGGCCTCCGTGATTTGACCATTCACAAAGCGCTCGATTCTATCGCTCAGCGCCAATACCCCACCTCTCTACGGGGCTGCCTCAAAAACCAGGAGAAATGAATCAAACAGCCATAATTTACCTGGATTGGATTGAGAACAGACATGCGCAGTGATAGTTGCCTGCAACTAAGACCGCTGCCTTCAGCTCTGCCTGTGAAGGCTTAAGAGAAGCTGTTAGGTTGTATGCTTTTTTTTTTTTTTTTTAACTCGGTGCTCTTTACACCTTAGATAACTTCCACGTCATCTCCTCTTCTTACTTTCTGATTCTAGGGGAAAAAAACTTTTATTCTCTTATAAGTAAAAAAAAAAAAAATAGGACGTTACGTTTAAACATGGCAATTTTAATTAAAGTGTATTCGGAATTGTGAAAGCCACCTTTTACACTCCAACCTGTTCTTTCATCTTTGTGTTGAAAATTTTCCAGTGGCAAGAAAACATGCTACAAAAATGCGGTGCTTTCTTCCGACCGCCGGCGATCTAGCACCGCGGGCAACCGTGGTTTGCCATCTGCCAATCATATTCACGGCGGTTCCAATCTTTAAATGCCTACCTCTGCTGCCATATTTGTTTAGGGCCCGCCTCGAAGGTGGCGAAAGTAGGCGTGGACGCCATTTTTCTTTTGGGCATATTCCTCGCGCTCTCCTGGCCTTCGCCCAGTGTTTCACCGCCATCTTAAATCCTGGCTGTGGCTTCACGCCGACTGCGAAGCTGCCCCGATCATCTTGTGTTTGGGCGGCGGCTGTGATCCCAGGCGCGCGGGAGACCCTGGGAAGGGGGAAGTAAACCGGAAACTAGCATCCCAAAGCTTCTGAAGGTTGGCTGCAGAGCCTGCTGCCTCTTTAGTCTGACTTTACCCAGCCAGACACCCCTCCGCCAGTGACCCTGGACAGTCACAAAACATATAAAAGTCCGAGCCCAAACCCTGCCACCATCTAGGTAAGAACATGGAGCTTCTGACAACCTAAGGCGTTCCTCGACCTGAACTGAAACTGCCCCTCTCCTCCCCCCTGTTGTTTTGCTGTGATTTTTGAGACTTTTCCGTATCCTTCTCCCTGTATTTTCACCTCTCTTCATTGTTTTAGAAAAGCCAAAAAGTTGTTAAGCATCATGGTGCAAGGGAGCATGGGTTTTAAAGTGGGAATATTGTTCAGGATTTTTTTTTTTTAAGGACAAAAGGGATGGGTCAGGTATTTGTATCAAATTATGGTTGCCTGTATCCATGTGTACAAATATAGTCCTCCTTCCAGACGTTTTTGATGCAAATCCAGATTGTTTGGATGTACTTTTCATTCATTTTATTCAGACTTGTGCTAGGCCATAGGATTCAGCAGTTAACTAAAAAAACCCTTTCTTGGAGCTTACATTCTATTAACGTGACATTTCCTAGATTGGCAAAAGTAACACAGTATTCTTTGGTTGTTAGCACTGCTGTACTATGCAAACAGGTATTCTTCCCCCAGCCCTCAATTTTATTTTTAAGTTTTTAATTTTATTTATGTATTGCCTGAACTAGGAATTAATTGTACTGACATTTACTTCTTGGGTCCTAGACATAACAATATCTGTAAGTCAATTGACAAATGTTACAACTGATATTTCAGTTGTCTAGGGCCTTGTTGCTCAAGTGTGATCTGTCTTCCAGCAGCATCAGCATCCCCTGGGTATTTGTTGGTACTGCAATCTCAAGCCTCATCCCAGAGCTGCTGAGTCAGAATTATCCTCCAGAAGTGCACCTTAAAGTTCAGAGAACGTGGTTTCAGAGCATGGGCTAAAGATACAGCCTGTCTTTTTTCAAGCTGTGCATATCCAGATTCACAATGAATTATCAGTTTATTACATGTTTTAAATGCAGTGGATACTTGGAATACTTTTCTGTGCTTTTAGTCCATCGACTTGATGTCATGATGCCAATTTAGCATTCCAAAAGTTGAAAGATTTTTTTTCATTCCAGTGTTTTTCTTTGGTCTGTGTGTTTGTTTTGAGTCAGGGTCTCACTCTTGCCCATGCTGGAGAGCAGTGGCATGATCACGACAGCCTCGACCTTCTGTGCTCCAGTGATCCTTCCACCTCAGCATCCTGAGTAGCTGGGACTATAGGCACGCACCATCATGCTTTCAGCTAATTTTTTAAATTTCTTTTTTTTTTTGGTGTTGGAGTCTCATTCTGTTGCCTAGGCTGGAGTGCAACAGTGCAGTGGCACGCTCACGGTCACCACAGCTTCCACCTGCTGGGCTCAGGTGATTTTTCCGCCTCAACCATCCAAGTAGCTGGAACCACAGGCGCGTACCACTACGCCTGGCTAATTTTTTGATTTATTGTAGAGATGAGGTCTCGCCATGTTGCTCAGGCTGGTCTCGAACCCCTGAGCTCAGGCAATCCTCTTGCCTCGGCCTCCCAAAGTGATGGGATTATAGGCGTGAGCCACTGGGCCTAGTTTTTTTTTTTTTGTAGAGTCAAGGTCTCACTATATTGCCTAGGCTCGTCCTGAACTCCTTGGCTCAAGCAGTCCCCCTACTTTGACCTCCTAAAGTGCTGGGATTACAGGCGTGAGCCACTGCACCTGGCCTTCCAGTGTACTAATGTTATGACAATATAACAAAGTAAAGGTGACTAAGAAACAGTAGTTATAATCAGAGGATGTCTTGGGTTACCAAGTGGATCGATTATATGCTGTCTGTTTGCACTCTCAGTGTTACAGTGATTCTGCTTAATAGACTGAGCACACTGTATATCAGGCACAGGCCCAGTAATTGC